ATGTATACTTTAAAAAAAAAAGTAAAAATGAATTGAGATGTTATTTTATAATTAAATTTTATTTTCTAACTAATTCTTATATTAAAATTATCAAAGCACGCTAAAAAAATTGGGGGGGGGAGTTGTCAGTTAAGTGTACAATTGAAATGGGCAATTTCTTTCTGCGTGCACAATATTAATATGCCACATGGTCATCACATTTATAACCTCAACTATACTGATTCAATTTATTAGCGTTGCCTGTCTCTTCCATAAGTCCATCGTCAAATAATAGTTGTGCGGCCCTATCGATCAACAGTTGGGGATTGAACCTCAGATCAGCCACAAGGGCAAGTCTTGTGCCCTTAAACTCGATGATCATTCGCAATCTCCTTCCCTTTCTGTACATTATTCGAGCCCCACTTCCGCCTGGCTCCGTCGTATTGCTCCGTGCAACCAACCAATCAATATCAACTTATTATAACAGTAGTACCAATCAATGCCAAAATTAACTACATGCCTGCAAAATTGGCTAAAACAATACGTACCTCTGAATTAGTTTTCCCTTTTAAATGTGAGTAAGGATCGACAGCTAGCTATATAAAGATGACAAAGAACGTACTCATTGAATACTCAATACATTTAATAAAGGATAAATTATATAAACCCCTACTTAAATTACAGATCAATTGCATAAGACTTTCCTTACATTTTAAAGTTTAAATTTCACTTACTGACTTCTTTCTTTCTTTTTCAACACAAACCCCTTATCGTTATCTTTTTAATGGAATTGTCATACATGTAACACCTTATATGGCATATCCTGGCTACATGGCATTTGATAATTTTATATATTCTTTTGGTCCTTAATGTAATCCTAATTAACTAATTTGAATAGATTAAAGGTGTTAGTTAAATTAGTTAATATATTATATTTTTTTCTTAAACATTCTAATTATCTTTCTTAATTCTTTTTCCTCCCTCTTACTTGATTATTGTTAAAGAAATGTCAAAAGAGTAATTTAAAAAAAATAAAATAAATATGTAAAATAAATCTTACATATAAAATTAACGTTAACTTTCACGTTAGGCTCTATATTAAGGACACGAGGAGTACTAATTATATATCTTTCGCATAAGGATTAATCTGTTATTTTACCATTAATTAAAATAAACCCTCATTCTCCTGATGTCTCGTCGGTCGCGCCGTCTTCAAACTCTTCGGCCTCAGAACATCAAAACTGATACGCGAATGGACAAACTCTTCCTGTATTGAGCAACATCCAATTCCAATTAACGCATGTAACGGAGACGATAAATATGACCGGAGCAATAATTGTAATTAAGCTAAGCTATACTTTATTCCAGAAGCCTCCATATAGTCAATAACTTAACTGATGTGTAAATGGAGAAAATTTTTTTCAACCGCTACTTTTTAAATCCCAAATGAAAAGAGGCGTAAAGAAATTTAATTTAAGCAAGACAACGAATGATATGTGCAAGCAAATTTAAGTCCAGTCATGAGTTTTGGCTACTTCAATGTAAATGTCTGTGCCATTATCTGATATTGAAGGTTTTTCCTCTTCAAAATCCATGTTAAATGGCTCGTAGTCAGTTGAATTGTGATCTAGAGTAGGAAATAGGCTCAATTTTCTTCAAGTGGACAATAATGGGGTTGAGAAGGAGGGTTTATTTTGATGATAAAATCACGATTTAATCCTTGTGTGCAAAATAATAATTAGTATAAAATCATCAAATGTCACGTAAGATGCCACATGACGTGCCACATATCTTCTAGTAATTTGACGTGACAATTTCCGTTAAAAAGATAATAGTAAAAAAAATAAAAGATTAGGAAAATTATTAAACTTTAAAATATTAGAAAGGTTATATGCAACTGACTCATAGTTAATGGAGCTTTTATATAATTTAGCATTTAATAAAATTAAAAATATTTCACTTCCATAATTTTTGACCCCATAGTTGTACAAATCTTTTAATTGTAACACAGCACAATTCAGGGTCTATTTGGATTGGCGGTAAAAAAAATAATTTATTCTTAATATGACTTTTTTAAAAAAATTAGATTGAATAAAAATTAGATTAGATAATGTGATTTATGTTTAGATTAGCTTTTATAAAAAATTAGTTTGTAAAGTAGAAAAGTTATTTAAATTATAATTGGATAAGTAAATTTAGTTTATCGAATGATCAAATAGGTATGGCTTTTATTAAATAATAAAAATAATTAAAAATATGAATTTAGAAAATATAATAATTTTAGATTATTATAATAGGAAAATGTTATATTTAAATTAGAAATCATAGTAATATGAAAATTTTTGAATCAAATAATATTACATAATTAATTAGATAATATAATCTGCACATTTATGTAAATATAAAATAAAATTAAAATTAAAAATTAAAAATATTATAAAAACTATGTTAAAAATTATTTTTACTTAAGATAATATTAAAATAAATAGTTAAAAACTAACTAGGAAGCAAGAAAAACATAAACATATGAGCAAAAATGTTTTTTGATTCCAAAACTATTTTTGCATAAGTTATAAATAAGTTTTAGATACTTTTATAATCATACTTAAAAAGCAGCTTTTGGCCCATAAGTTAGATGGGCCAAAAGTGAAATCAAACACAATCAAAATTATTTAATGTAACTTTTAGTCGATGAGTAGATTATAAATCACTTTATAAGCTCAACCAAACAGACACTTAATTGTTCTTGAATTTTTTAACTTGATTGAAACTCAGTTTCTGATCTTTTCCTATTTAGTAAATTAATCATTGTTATACATAATTCAATCCCTCAACGTAACTATTACTCAGTATGACAATGACTAATAATTTAATAAATGGGAAAAAAATTATGAGCTAAGTTTTAATGAGGTTAAAAATTCAAAAACTGAGTGATACTAAATCATAGTTAAAAGATTCAGTTATCACTTATAACTGAATTAAAAGTTGAAGGAATAAAAGATTAATTTTCTCATCTTAATCTTAATCAAGATTCCACGAAATGTATTTCATAGTAGTTCTGATAATTGAGCTTACAAGGTGTACACATATTTATTCATCCAGAGATGCATGCTTTTTTTGGTAGCAAAAAAGAAGTAGAACGCTGCTATTTGAAGAGGTAGTAATTAAAAGTAGATTATTTTGGTGTTTCTCTTGGTGATATATATATATATATATATATATTAATGTAATATAGAATTAGCCGATGGTGGGTGGCTTGGCAACATTGAGGGATTCATCAACGTAGAGACGAACACGTTGGGCGTTGAAATCCATAGTCACAAAAGAATCAGGTGGCACCACTTGGATCACTGCTCTTTCCATCTCTTCCTTTATCTTCTTCTCTGCTTCTTCTGCTGTTACTCCCACCAGCTCTGGCCAACTTGTTTTGGTTGCCCTATTTTCCCCCAATACTTTATTGTAATTCCCTGTAGTTTCATATATCTTACATATACATATCACTGTTTGATATCCTTGAATTACCTTCAGATTTGTGCCGGTAATAAATTATTGTTTACATACATAATTCAAGAGATTTTGATTATAATATCAAGAGCGCAAATTTTCAATTCTTTTCAAAGAACACCGTACCCAAATATTTTGATATTTTTAAAATTCATTAACAGAAATTACAATTAGAGCTTAATTTATATATATATATAACAATACTCCTCTGGTCCTTAATATAAGACCCATTTAACTAATTTGATTAAATTAAGGAAGTTAGGTAAGTTAGTTAATTATAAGAAATGTGACACGCTTTTCTTAAAATACCATAATTATCTTTCTTAATAGCCCCTCTCTCTCTTCTACTTGATTATAGTTGAGAAAGTATCCATATAGGTAATTTAAAAAAAATGATAAATATGAAAAATGGGTATTATATTTAGGACCAAAATCAACTCAACAATTGGGTCCTATATTAAGGACCGGAGGAGTAGAATCTTTACGGATTAATCTAACAATATATGCATATATAAATTGAGCCATAGTATACGTTATACTACTTCTGGTCCTAATTATAAGAGCTAATTGACTAATTTGAGGAGATTAAGAAAATAAGTTAAGTTAGCTATTTGTAATAAATATGTGTTATCTTTCCTAAAATATTCTCATTAGTCAAGTGTATTGGCTAAAATTCCCATTATTAGAAGGACTACCTTGGAAAAAATTACATAAATATGAGAAACAAAGTGGATTGGAATCTTATATCTAGGATCAAACAAAAGTCAAACGAGGTCTTATATTAAAGACATGAGGTAATATCAAATAAAAATAAGAAGAATAATGATTAAATAAAATAAATGAAGAGGGGAAACCAAATAGTTACTTGGCAAGGGCTGATCAGGCAGCTCTGGAGGAGGCTTAACTCCTTGATTCTCCTCTGCCATACCAAACACTTGTTAATGATGACGATGATCTGAAGATTATCTTTCAGGCAGCTGTTTGTGTGTGAATCTGATATGTGGTTGAATGCCATTTGGCATATGCATATATGCATGGGATTCGACGGTGTTCCCTAAGCTAATTAAATGAGAGTCCTATTTAAAATTCATAAGACGATCCATTCTGTTGTTTTGTTGCCGACCCTCCGTATTTTATCCATGGAATATACTACTACTGCGGCTCTATGAAGGCCAATAATTTAGACTGGGCTGTGAGATGAAAGGCATTATTAATTCATTCACTTGTTATCGTGCTTGAATTACACTGTTTTTCATACAGTGGTGAATATATTTTGAAAAAAAAAATGCTTCCAAATAGAATTTCTTAGTTAATTAATAGTGTGTGGTTTGTAAATTAGATATAGGGAGATGGAGCTCATTTTCAAAGGATTAGCCTATTGTGTGCGAAAATTTCCTGAATTTATAAGCCCCTTCTCCCATATGGGTTATCCAATATGGAACTCATAGTTTGAGAGAGGAAGAAGAAGAGTATTTAATGAAAGACATTTAAGAAAACATCAGATTATTTTAAAAATAGCAACAGAGTGATTAAATAATATGATGTGAAGAAGGAAGAGTATTGCTATACTGTAGAATATTTTCTTTGAATCCATCGCGGAAGACCTGGCATTTTATTTCCGTTTTACTTAGGGGATGAAGACATAGGCCTTGACTGGTTTTATAAGATGGGCATATTCTTACTAATCCACAGCAGCGAACGCATTCAATCATTGCTTTATCCAATTAATTAAAAAAGAAGAAGGAAGAATTACAATCAGATTTTAAGGAAAAGATTTAATCATCTTAAAATCTATTAACAAGTAAAGAGTAAACAATAATAAATTTAAGAATAGAGAATGACAACAAGTTCTGATTGATCACTTGTCATCAAGATTTTTTGTTAATTAATTTTTTTTTTTCTGGGGCTTTCCTGGTAATTGTCCCGACAAAATATCACTTTGATATTTTTTTACCTTAATATACTAAACGTAAATCGAAAAGATCAAATTTCAGATATTAAATTTCAGTCTAAGGCTGAACTACAGTAAATTAAAATTCATGGATAGAATGATAGTCAAGTCAAAATTATAAAAATTTAACTGATGAATTTCTCATTTTCTTCATTAACGGATGAAGATTAGAGACACGTCAAATATCTGTTATTGACAAACACCTCCCCCACCCCCCAAAAAAACAAATCTTCGTCTTCTTTTCTGCATTTTGAAGAAGTTTGAGAGGAGAAAAAAAAAAAAAAACTTGAATTAAGCCCCAGTGAAACTCGGAATTCTGTAAAAGTTTACGTCGGGTCTGACCATATCCAACATATAAAAACAAAATTTGCCTTCACATGTTGAAATGACGCATTCCAAATCTATAAAAACAAACTAAAATTATGTGCTTTCAAGGACTAAAAGATTTACTAAAATCATTTTCTTTCGGCTACTTGTAATAAAAATACATAACACCACCTATACATAAGGTTCCATTTGATGATTTGACACACTAAGTACAACTGCGACGTTATAGATGCAATCCAAAAGAATTACGTATGTCCCGTTTTGTCAAGTTAACTGGCAATGCCGTGACACAAGCTCTTGGCAAAAGTATCCCGCACCACCCATTTTAACAGTTTTTATTGTTCACCAATATAGTATCCGTGCCAAAAGCCTCCTCTTTTAACCTGATGCCGTAGAGACAAAATATGACACGGATGAATTGGCTCATAACGAGAAGTTGTATCCCACTAAGTGAGGTTGGGTGTAGAATCTGACCAGTATGAAGACCTAACTAGAGGATGGATTGACTTATATAATCCGGCTAATCCGAACATCGATAATAGGGACCTTGGAAGATGAATCTGAGATTTCTAAAGCCTCTGCCAGAGACAACCTCCGATTCTTCCAAATCGCCTCTGCCCAGCTCTTCATCTTCTCTCCTTGAACTTTTCTGTTCTCTTGGACACTGAGTACATCACCATATCCACCTGCAACATTGGGTTCTAGTCAATAAACAACTTCAGCTTCAATATTAGCAGTCATGAGGGTAGCCTTGAACGCCCTTCAGAGTGTCCAAGCACCCTATTTCCATTTACTTTCAAGTAAAGTCTGAGGATGCCCCTAAATCCGAAATGTAATATCAAGAAGAGGGGAAAAAAAAAAACTAACCTTAAATGAGACCGCTACTTCGTTAAGAATTTATAATAAATCATAGTTGGAAATATGCAGGTGTGCCTCATAAGATGATTAAGAAGTATTAACACTATAAAAGCATAATCATATTCTCTCCAATAAAATGTTTCCTACACTTTAACTCATAAAACTCGTAATGATATTTTAACAGTGCGATTCATTTTGAAACCCCTGTAAATGCACAGACACAGTCTAGTTATTAGCTACATCAGCATCCATAATAAACATGTCATCAATATTCAATATGCAAAGTAAAATCTATATGAAGTCATACTATTTATAAGCCATTAACAATGTGGCACATTTTAGATTCCATGTGAAGTATAGGGCCCATAATATGGTTATCTTTATATCAGCATCCATGCCTGTTAGCATGACATTAAACATGAAAAGAGAAAAAAGAATCACAAAACTACCATTCATAATACAACTTAAAACCCAAGCTGAAACACGAGCACACAAAGATGTATACCTCTGTGTGCATGTGAAAGAGACAGTATTTGAAGGGGTGCTACAAGATGCAAGAGTACTTGTTAACATGCAAAGCTAACATTGAACACCATCATTTATTTGACTAGAACTAGAGGGTAGCCCATCATTTTGCACCAAGCCCAAGATGGGTTGCAATATTCATGGCTTATAAACAAACAATATGACTTCTAACACATTTTATACTTTATACTGGTATATTGATTCTTCTTCACTTTGGTAACACTAGTTACACTATAATGAATCAAAGGGTCCATCTTACCTCTTGCAAGGGCCACTATATCTCCTCGATCCATAGAAGTCACAGCACCTACCCAGATAAAGCTCATTTTCAAAATATATACATCATAAATGCATGTGTCTCGTGTGTGAGAGTGTATGGGCACCAAACTAACCCATCAACATTACCTTCAGTCTCCAACGGTGGAGCCTTCAACAATTCTATAGCCCTTCTGTACAGCCCCTGTCAAAGGTTTCAAGTCTAATTACACCATAAATTACGAGCACAGCAGTTGGTAAGCTAACTAAGAAAAGATCTGCTAAAGTCCTCAAGGACGACTCCTTTACTTGTCAGACTATAAGACTCGCCTCAGCAGAAATTTGGTTTAAACTAAACCAGATTGAAGGTCACTCAATTTTTCAGTGACAAGACAAACTCTATATAAGCTAGCACATTGGGAGTAAAAGAAGACGGATTGATAATAGAAACTAAAACAGATGAAACCAACTCTGTAATAAAACTAAAGCAGACTGAAGCACCTCTGCCGAGGCAAGAGGGCTGTGCATGTGTCAAAAGAATGGCTCAATTAAAACTTTCCAATTTCTTAAATCTCAAAAGTGAACAAGAACTTGGCTTTTGGAGGGCTCTTACCTCTTGAATCAAAAGAGAACTTGAACGCTCAAGCACTGCCTTCCGCCTAAACATGAGAGCTATGCAACTCAAGACAACCCCAATCTTGGGATGATGAGAGCCTACATTTATTCATCACAAAAGATTAGCAATAAACTTTACCGGTAACAGTCTTTCAAATAATTGCTATATAAAATTTGTACACCAAGGTTAGATGGTTTTTAGCCCCATCAAAGGGATGTAGAAAGAGACCAAAAAAGAGTGTCAAAAAAGTTATCAAACAGGATCTCTTGGTGAATGATATATCTCAAGAGTTGACTGTTGATAAAACACAGTAACATCATGTGATTAATGTGCCCAAGCTCATTTAGTGGAATAAGGCTTGTTATTGTTGTTGTAATTGGATACAACAATTTAAAGGACAGATAACTAACCAAAAGATTCCTCTGCCTTTGTCAATGCCGTTGTCAATAACTCCTCTGCATCACCAAAGTTACTGAAATTTAGATAGCAAGTATTAGTAATATCCCCAAAAAGTTATAAGACTAAGAAAATTGTAGCAGAAGAAAAGTATTATTGAACTTACCCCATATGTGATTCAAGCTGCCCCAAAGCACACATGGCCCCCAACATTAAACCCTCTGAGTTCATATTACCAGCTGCTAAGAGAAAAGGGTTCCCAAAATCTTTATTCTCTGAACCTCCATCTATGACCTTTTGATAAACCTCCTTTGCCAAAGAAAAGTTCTGTTTGGCATGTACAAATTCCCCATATGACAGAGCGACACTGCCTATATTTTCAAATATCAATTTGGGACGGATAAATGTCTGACATAGTGTCTGATAAAACGAAAAGTACCATTGCATAGTCTGACATCAGGAGGACCTTGAAAGAATGCTTCAGCTGCACCAGACGCACAAGGTCTACTTAGATATTAAAGGATGAGTGGGATAAATAATCAAACGGATAATAACAAGAATTTAGAAGTACCTGACTCAAGATTGCCATTGACAAGTTCAACAAACCCTTTTACTGATTTTGCACGAGTAGTTAGAGTCTCAAAATCTTTGCCATCACACCCTGCTTCATGTTTCGCCATGAGCTCTAAACATTTATCTGCGAGCACTGATGATTTATCATCCTATAGGGGAGAATTTTCTTCAAATAAATATGAGTATTACTGGGAGAAATAAGTAGATATTTTGCAATGTGTTAGCAACCAACCTGGCCCAGCTCTAAATGCAGACCTACCAGAGCTTCGAAGGCAGCAACTACAACAAGAAAGCCCAAGAGTACCGTTAAATTATGGGAACTTCTTATAAAGATATCAAATTGGAAAAGCAGATGCGCTATTATTATGAATGTAAATTCACCTCTCACTCCCAGGAAAGAACTGGTCAATTGTTGAACACTACGG